CAACAACAACATGGATGGCCGATGCGATTCGGCTCGATTCGATTTTTCGATTCGACTAGGGCCGAAGCGATTCGACCGATCCGATTCGACCAGCTTGCAAGGCTCCGGGGGCACAACTGATGGAAGTCTCCAGAAACAGCGTGCTCCCAGATGCGTTTTCCCGGCCCCGAAAAATGCATCTAGACGAGCGGTGGATTCTCAAGGCAGCTCCTAGAAGGAGCATGCTCCCAGATGCGTTTTCCCGGCCCCGAAAAATGCATCTAGACGAGCGGTGGATTCTCAAGGCAGCTCCTAGTAGGAGCACCGACTCCAGATGCGTTTCCCCGCCCACGAATTTGCATCTATGTCGAGCGGTGGATGGATTCTCAAAGCAGCTCATGAAGGTAGCATGCCCACAGATGCGTTTTCCCGGGCTCCGAAAATATGATGTGCGTCAATTTCCGTGGGGTTCTCGAGTCATGCTCTTGAAGGCGCATGCTCCAGGATGAGTTTTCCCGGCTCGGAAAAATGAATCTAGACGTAGCGGTGGATTCTCAAGGCAGCTCCTAGAAGGAGCATGGTTCCAGATGCGTTTTCCCGGCTCCGAAAAATGCATCTAGACGAGCGGTGGATTCTCCGCTCCCAGATGCGTTTTCCCGGCTCCGAAAAATGCATCTGGACGAGCGGGTGGATTCGATTTCTCAAGGCAGCTCCTAGAAGGAGCATGCTCCCAGATGCGTTTTCCCGGCCCCGAAAAATGCATCTAGACGAGCGGTGGATTGTCAAGGCAGCTCCTAGAAGGAGCATGCTCCCAGATGCGTTTTCCCGGCTCCGAAAAAAGCATCTAGACGAGCGGTGGATTCTCAAGGCAGCTTCTAGAAGGAGCATGCTCCCAGATGCGTTTTCCCGGCCCCGAAAAATGCATCTAGACGAGCGGTGGGTTCTCAAGGCAGCTCCTAGAAGGAGCATGCTCCCAGATGCGTTTTCCCGGCTCCGAAAAATGCATTTGGACAATGCGTGGGTTCTCGAGTGAGCTCCTAGAAGGAGCATGCTCCCAGATGCGTTTTCCCGGCTCGGAAAAATGCATCTAGACGAGCGGTGGATTCTCAAGGCAGCTCCTAGAAGGAGCATGGTTCCAGATGCGTTTTCTCCGAAAAATGCATCTAGACGAGCGGTGGATTCTCCGCTCCCAATCCCCGGCCCCGAAAAATGGGACGAGCGGTGGATCTCGGCAGCTCCTAGAAGGAGCGCTCCCAGCGTTTTCCCGGCTCCGAGAAGGAGCATGCTCCCAGATGCGTTTTCCCGGCTCCGAAAAATGCATCTACACGAGCGGTGGATTCTCAAGGCAGCTCCTAGAAAGAGCATGCTCCCAGATGCGTTTTCCCGGCTCCGAAAAATGCATTTGGACAATCCGTGGGTTCTCGAGGCGGCTCCTAGAAGGAGCATGCTCCCAGATGCGTTTTCCCGGGGTTTTCGAGGCAGCTCCTAGAAGGAGCATGCTCCCAGATGCGTTTTCCCGGCCCAGAAAAATGCATCTAGACGAGCGGTGGATTCGATTCTCAAGGCAGCTCCTAGAAGGAGCATGCTCCCAGATGCGTTTTCCCGGCCCCGAAAAATGCATCTAGACGAGCGGTGGATCGTCAAGGCAGCTCCTAGAAGGAGCATGCTCCCAGATGCGTTTTCCCGGCTCCGAAAAATGCATCTAGACGAGCGGTGGATTCTCAAGGCAGCTCCTAGAAGGAGCATGCTCCCAGATGCGTTTTCCCGGGCCCGAAAAATGCATCTAGACGAGCGGTGGGTTCTCAAGGCAGCTCCTAGAAGGAGCATGCTCCCAGATGCGTTTTCCCGGCTCCGAAAAAGCATCTAGACGAGCGGTGGATTCTCAAGGCAGCTCCTAGAAGGAGCATGCTCCCAGATGCGTTTTCCCGGCCCCGAAAAATGCATCTAGACGAGCGGCGGGTTCTCAAGGCAGCCCCGAAAAATGCATTTGGACAAGCGGTGGGTTCTCGAGGCAGCTCCTAGAAGCAGCATGCTCCCAGATGCGTTTTCCCGGCCCCGAAAAATGCATCTAGACGAGCGGTGGATTCTCAAGGCAGCTCCTAGAAGCAGCATGCTCCCAGATGCGTTTTCCCGGCCCCGAAACATGCATCTAGACGAGTGGTGGATTCTCAAGGCAGCTCCTAGAAGGAGCACGCTCCCACATGCGTTTTCCCGGCCCCGAAAACTGCATCTGGACAAGCAGGGGATTTTCAACGCAGCTCCTAGAAGGAGTATGCTCCCAGATGCGTTTTTTGGGCCCGGCAAAACGCATCTACACGTCCTGCTCCTTCCGTTCCTATGCTCGTTTCCGGAGTTGGCCCCGGACCATGGTTTTCAGCAAGAATGAAAGCTAGATGCGTTTTCGCGGCCCGGCAAAACGCATCTAGACCTCGTGCTGTTGTCGTGCTGGCAGTCGTGTAGCGGAAGTAGTAGTAGTAGTAGTAGTAGTAGTAGTAGTAGTAGTAGTAGTAGTAGTAGTAGTAGTAGTAGTAGTAGTAGTAGTAGTAGTAGTAGTAAAGTAAAAGTAGTAGAAGTAGCAGCAGCAACAGTAGTAGTAGTCCAGTAGTAGTAGTAGTAGTAGTAGTAGTAGTAGTAGTAGTAGTAGTAGTAGTAGTAGTAGTAGTAGTTAGTACTAGTAGTAGTAGTAGTAGTAGTTGTAGTTGTAGTTGTAGTAGTAGTGGTCGTAGCAGTGGTAGTAGTAGTGGTAG